TCAGCTATGAAACCATCCACAGCAATCACAACAGTTTCATATTAAACAGTACATCCTTCCATGCCACCGCAAACCACCTTTATTTGGCTGAATTGGAGTATTACAGACCTATGGCAACCGAATGGGTTGCTGCCATTAACATTGGTCTGGACAAGTGGCACCTAGGGCCCCCCAAGGGAACTAACAAGGGCAAGCAAGTAGCATGTGATGCAGCAATGGCCGCCCCCCATGCAGATGAGATTATGCATGAAGAAGGACAACACAATATACCTGACACTGGCAGTCATCATTCAAACTCCTGGGATAGTAACAGTTCTGGATCATCCCATCATGTCACAAAAAACCCTCAAACAACCACCTGCATTCCCATTACCAATGTCAATTACAACCCCAATGACAACTCAAATTTGCAGTCAAGCAGCAGACGACCAAGCCTGTCTAGACCACATCATCCAACAAACACATCTGGACAACCTTCTTCCCAGGGATCTGGCCACTTATATCACCAAGGAAACCCCACACAACATTCTACCCCCAGTCACCAAAGTAGCCGGATATATGAGCATGCCTCAAGTCAAACCAATCCACTTTTGCATGCAGGGACCATGAGTCCCCAACATCAAAGTACACGCCAAATATTCCAAGCCCCAGTAGGGTGGGGAAACTCACCAGGATACATAGGCCACCCGGCCAGCACAGGTAACATATCATCACATAGAAATCCATTGCCAATGTATCAAATGCAACCACCTGTTGTTCATGGTAATCAGCACACACCATATCCCCACCATAACAACTATCATCACCAGGACCCAAGAGCATTACACCGGACTCCTAGCAGTTCTTCCATATATAATCAATACAGACCACATGAAATGAGTTATCCATCTCATCAAACCACTCCATACCATACACCAAGAACACATTACCTACAAGATACCAGTTACCATGGCCAAGGATCAAGTAATGACCTGCAAGGGTCAAGTTACCAACCCCTTGTCTCACACTACCACCCAGATAATTTCATCATTATACAATTATCAAGATCTCAGCTGGGGGGGGGGCAATCAGCTCCGGGGCAATGGGTCATAAAATCAGGATCACATGCATTATCAGATGATCCCACTGGAGTAGTAAATCACATACCTGCCCAAATCATATACCAAATGCCAATCCATTTGCCAATTAAACACCAATAATCAGCATGGCCCTCACCAATAATAATAATTTCTTTTGTACCATAGGGCCATACCTCATAGTAATTGATACCATTTTAAATCAGAAGCCCCAATGTAATTTCACGCATATTTTCCTTAGGCACTCATCTATCATAAGACCTCATCAATCATAAGAACTCATCCGCACAAGACAGTTGTATTTCATCCTTTTTTCATTTGTGTGATCAGAGAAATGCAAGATCACATAACATCTACACGAAAAACTGATGCTGGAGATCTGTACAGACTTCCCACAATGATGAGAGACCAATCCACAGTCACAAATGATATGAATTGCAAATCCCAGAGAAGCAACCAAAATGAAATAAGGAAGCTAGCCAGCACCCGGATCAGGTGCTGCGGCAGGCCTTAAGAGACCCAGACTTCTTAGACACTACCTCAACGTCCGGCGAAGACGATCGGACTCGCTTGATTGTTTCGTAATCCTTGGATTTCCAGGACAAAGGTGGGCCATCCAGCATCTCGATTCCCGAAGACGATGGAGGATCGTCGCGAGCGACCCGAGAGCCTCTGATGTTTGAAGAAGAGGGCCCACTGATAACGCCTTCAGCTGCAACCAAGCTCCTCTGGCCGGATGAAGGAGCCTTGACCTCTGAGATGTTGACCCCATTGTCTTGACGGGGGCTTGACAGAGGTGGATCGACCGCCGGTCCATCGGAGTCGAAATCGGAAGACGCAGGCCACTCGTGTACTGATGAGGATCTAGCCGAGCTTGAATGATAAGACGGGGACTCCACCAACGGTGGCGTGGGGGTGGTCGACGAGGGGGTATTGATGACCCAGCTGGAAGGAGAAGGTGGCGCCTCAACAGTCGATCGAGTGCCAGTCGGATCTGGCGTGGGGGAGGTCGCCAACGGCGAAGGTGGCGGCTCAACACTTGATCGAGTGGAAGTCGCCTCCTCGCCTGCATCGCTTCCCGGGAGTGGCGCCCCAAGAACAAAACATTCCTCTGGGGGAGGAGGGAGTGCCCCGTTACGCACAAAGGGCACAATAACCTCGTGAGGCCAAATATGAGGAATCCAGGTCCACTGGGAATCGGCCCAACAGAGACATCAGCTACCATTGATCAGACCCAACAAGCCAAAAAGATAGTCACCCACGTAGCTCCGGTTGCCAATAATTTGCACCGGGATCATCCATGAACAACCTCAAGTGGCACCTCATAGGGAGTGCCGCGAGGGTAGCCATCTGGGCAAAATTTGCGTAATTTCGGACAACATTCATGTTACG